CTTGTCACATGGATGGAGCAAGGGTAAAAACGAAAAGCAAACAAAAAAAAAGTCTGCTTCAGGCTTTCTTCAGTTTCCTCCTAAAATTGAAAGGAAAATGGGTCTCACGAAAAAAACATTTATTTATTATTATTATTTTCTTTCCTCTCATTTCCTCTATAATCTAAATGAGGAAAAATTTTCATTTTTACCTCGTTTTCTTTCCTCTCGTCCACTTTCATTCCTATCCAAACACGAGGAGAAAGTCAATTTAAGTAAATACGTGTGTGTTTTCTTAAAATAAAATAAAATAATAATAACAAGAAGGCACGTGGGGGAGATTGAAAAGGATCATAATCTTCTCTAGCAAATAGAAAAGCATAAAGGAAATGGATTATGGTGTTAGGTAAGGTGCTCAACCACGTGGGAATGAGGTTTCCAAGAAAAGAAGAGATAATATGGGTGACGTGTCCAGCTAGGAGCTGCTTTTATCTAGCCGCGCTCGCTCGTGTTAAATTTAAGGAAATTGGTGGCGGAAATAATTGAATTAATTCTATCACATCTATATATCCTCTTGAGGCAAATTTTAATCCCATAAACAAAGTACTAAATTTTGGACAGTTCGCTTTTGTTAACCTGAATATACTATTTTATCTCTTTCACTCTTCACTTTCTGAAACTTATAAGCATATCTCTTTTAAATATATTGAAATAAAATTTTCTAAATTAGTTGAAACTTTCATCCTTCTATTTTTTATTTCTAAGGAAATTAGGCAAATCTGTAACATCTGCCTTGTGTCAAACCTAATACTCAAGATAAATGATGTTAAAAAATTCAATTAGAATGTGTAACATGAAAAAAATTAAATATCAAGTTCAACAATTTTTTTAAAAAAATCTTAATCCACAAAGTTCTTTACGTGAGAGCTGTGTTTTTTTAAACCTTTTACTTGAATAATTAAATTTTAATTATGTTTTCTGAAACTTATTCCAACTCGATAATATGATTCAACATAATAAACAGATAATTTATTTAAAATAAGTACTTATTTTAATTACAAAAATAAATAAATCAAACTAATATTTGAATAAAGAATTTCCTATCTTAAAGGACAATGCTATGAGTACTTATTTTTATCAATTGACTGGATATTTGTTACATGAAAGGTTTTCAAATTATGAAATAATAATCTAATCATATTCAGTGATGTAATGTAATTATAGAATATATTAATTAACGAATCACTAATCATGTATTAACATGTATTATTAATAAAAAAATTAAGTATATCTAAAATTATTATATCATTATAAGTATATAACGCACAAAACATTTCCTTTTTAATTTTCTAATCCGCGACTAATGCCATATTTGAACCAAACCTAGCCAAAAAAAGAAAAGAAAAAAAATAGGATTCATATGGACGGATTAAATTTATAATAAAACGGTGAATTTTTTCGAATTTCAGTTGACATGGCATGGGAGATAGGATGATAGCATGGCATAAAGATCATGTAGGATTCCACGTCAGCCAAACAGACCCATACTTGCATCCCAAACTCACAAACCTGCTAGACTCTATAGCAGGTCTTTCTTCCAAATCAGCTATTTTTTGACCAAACCAGAGGCCAAAACCTCAATAGAAAAATGCATTGTCATTCCTGTAGTCCTTTTCTCCCGTGATAGTGATCGAGAATGATAGAAGAAGGAAGAAAACAACCCACAACCCATGACCCATCAATCATTCTATTCTCCTTCTCCTTCTCCGATCAATTTTGGTCAAATTTAATGGCTTTTAAAGCTCAAATGGGTATACTCTTAGATTTTGCGATTGTCAGCTCTTTTTTTCAACTCACTCTAGCGTTTTCCTCCACTCTAATTGATTAGGAAAGAGCGATGGAGATGTGGGGAATGGTTTTATGGTCCCTAAAAGTGAAGAACATCATAAGTCCTAGCTACGAGTTACACAAGGTTGGGATGTGGGTTAGGTTTTGTTTGGCTGGCATGGAATTCTACGTGACATTGATGTCATGCTATTATCCTATCTCTCACACTAGGTCAATTGCAAATGAGATTTTTTTTTTAAAAAAAAACATTCTAATATGGCTACCAGAAACTTTGTTCATGTCGTTTTTGTTTAACTTTGAAAGAACATGTAATATGATTAACATGTGTAAAGTTTATGATTTTTTTAGTACAATATGCCTTTTTTATAAGGTAATTCTAAAGGTTTAAAAAGAAAAAAATTTCGATAATAACACCTTTTTTTTATATGCATATTTATAGACTTATCATTTTAATAAATCAATAATATATACATAATACCTTTTTTTTATATGCATATTATAAAGATTTTGAAATAGAATTACGTTAAAAACTATCATTCTTGGAATGTGTACTTTTTTTTAATACAAAATAACAATGAAGAAAGTTGTCATTTTAATTAAAAAAATAAATCACACAAGAAGCACCTATGCTTTTGGTTAAAATCAGGGGTACCTTACCTTGTTTTAAAAGCAAAAAAAGTTTCCAAAGGTAAGTTTTCATATTTTTAAATAATTTTTTTAATGCATCATTGATTTTTCTACAAATAAAATAAAATTGTTAAGTATATTAAACAGTCATGACATGCCATGGTTATCACTTCATGTAGCAATCAAATTTATTCAAAAAAATAGCTAAGTGTCTATAGAGAACTTTCTTGATACAAAGTAGCATCAAAATGAAGATGCATATCTGTAGAGTCAAATAAGACAAAAAAGATGATCTCATCAAACTTGATTCTCAAGACTAACATATATGTTAGTCTTAGAACTATTAAAGCCCGAAAACCATTTTTTAAAGGAAATATTTGAAGATCTATTTTGATATATACAAATAAATGTGGAAAGACAACAACTTTTAAGCACTCATTGGCTCTTCTTCAAGTTTCTATTCCATTAATTGAGGGAGTTAAAACTTTTCTTGAGTGTATAGCTAGTAATGATGAAATCAATTTTCTTTTCTTTTCTTGTACTTCGTGTGTGTGTTTGTACGCATGTTCACTTTATTTCGCGTCAATATGGATTGGATAAAAAGTTTGAGATGAAACTTGTTAGTAGATTTTGCTTTGTAATTTTTTTTTTTAAGTCCTCCTTGGTAAGATAGTGATGTTGATCACCGAAAAGCAATGGCATGATCAAATGATTGATTGTCGTGCATGAACACACAATGAATGCTTAGTGGGAGGATGCCTTTATTGTCATTTAATAGAACATGAGGTATTGGGTCATCTTTTACATTAAGGGTCGATAACATCATACTCTAAGGGATAGTAGTCCGGGATAGTCTATCCATAATAAATAGTTGGGTGATGTTGTCGAGGAACTAGACAAATATAATATTATTGTCTTAGAGGACTTTCAAGAATTGTCATTTTTTTTTTTTATAAACTAAGCTAAGTATCCTAGAAAATATTCAAAACATCGATCATGACCCGAAAGCTTGGGTGTTCAACAATCGTGGTAAGTGTCTAAGTAGTGGGTCGAGGTAGACTATTTTCTTGCAGCATTGTTAAGTCGCCATTGCCAACTCGAGAGTATTGAGGATTACTTTCCATTCTCAATATTCTCAAGTTAGTGTTTTCGGTATTATTATTGAGATCAAATAAGGTATCATTATATTGTAGTCAATTGAAATAGTTGCAAGATTAATATTATTTTTTATGGTCTTGGAAATAACCATTGTCATTTCACAATCGCTAAGTCTCTAATTGAGTTGTCAAAATATATGACAGAGTTCTTGAAAAACAAGTCAAAGACAAATAACAAATCGATGAAATTACGGAGAATTAATATTATGATTTGTAAAAGCAATAACCACCAAGTAGAATGAGTGTAAGTGGTGAGAGGTGTGAAGAGAGAAATAGACAATAATAGTAAAGATGCAAGTAAAATAACAAGCATATAAGGGGCCAAAATCCAAATATGTGGAGGTTTGGGTAATGTTTAACATGCGAGTGAAAGAGTTTCAAAAGAAGAGATAGAAAGAGTTCAAAAGTTTTGGTAAAGCTCAAAAAGTCAAAATCTTTGCAAAAAACTCAAGCTCCCTCACAATTGCTGCGAGATTGGTATTTATAGCAGGAGAAAGATGTCTCTTGATCACAAGGATCGCACCACGTTATTCGTGTTTGGATATAAAGATTTGAGCTAGACATAAAAATTGAGTCTTTTTGGCTAAATTGCTTCGACTTGATAACTAAAGCTAAGTAAAATAACAATTGAATATTTTTTAGTTATTTGTGTTTGGATATAAAGATTTGAGCTAGACATAAAAATTGAGTCTTTTTGGCTAAATTGCTTCAACTTGATAACTAAAGTTAAGTAAAATAACAATTGAATATTTTTTAGTAGATCATGCTCCAAAGTCACTAAATGAATCTTCTAAATATATTCTAAAAATATGATATAGGCACCAATCTTACTAGAATATTCTTGTTTATCATTACGTAATGAAAGCTTTGCGTTGGACAAGAACCATCATCGTCCAATTATATAGTTTAGACTCTTGTCAAAATGAAAGCAATAATAATATGAATTAATACATAATAAAATAAACTAAATTATTTATTAATTTTACAGACAAACTGAACGTATACACCTTTTTAAAGTGATATTCGCGTTGATTTTAAAGCAAATTAGATATTAATCAAACACTAGCTTTATATATATATATATATATATATATAAATTAAAAGCAGCTGTGTCTAAAAGCACAAGAATATAAAAAAGGCAAAAAACAAATCCGTACATATCTAAGGTTAAAAACTGTATATTTTGAGGTTTTCAGAATTATTACTATTATTATTATTAAAAAAAAAAAAGAATAGAATGGGTAGAGTAATAAACGAATTAAAAAGTACTTTGACAGGTAGGTTACAGTGAATTTGAGATGCACTATATAAAGTCAGCATCGAGTGGAAGAGTTTGAAACCCCATCCATAATATCACACTCAAACTCACTAAAACTCAATCGAGTGAAAATGGCGATCCATCTACCGAACCGGCAACTATTCATCGGCGGAGAATGGAGAGAACCCATTCTCAAAAATCGCATCCCCATTATCAACCCTGCCACTGAACAGATCGTCGGTCGGTTGACTAACTCACTCACTATGTCTCAGCATGTGTGTCTTTTGCAGGGTTAAATCGTCCATTTCTATCACTAATGAATGTTTTTCTTGATTTAAATTTGTTGTTTTAGCTGTTCAATGATTTTGAATGTCATATAAACACTTGCAACCTCAAAAGGATTTGATCTTTTTAGTTTTTGGAACCCGGTTCTTGTTCAGGTGATATACCTGCAGCTACTGCAGAAGATGTAGAGATTGCAGTTGAAGCAGCTAAGAAAGCATTTTCTAGGAACAAGGGCAAAGATTGGTCCTCTAATTCTGGTGCTTATCGTGCCAAGTATTTGCGTGCTATTGCTGCTAAGGTGCAATTTAATTTGATGTTTTGCTGATTTGTTTTGTCAACTGGCAAGATAAATTACTACGTTCTAATCTTGGAATCTTTTTTCTATCTTGCAGTTTGCTTAGATTCATGAGTTTATTTTGCATTTTCTTATCTGTCGGCGCGCAATTAAGTACTGAATTGAATTATGTAATTTTCGCAGTGGTGGTGTCTGTTCATTGTTGTGAATTGTTTTTCTTTTTTATAGTTATTTTTTTTGCTTATTTATCCAAGCTTTATTTCTGATCGCTATATATGTTTGTAAGAATTTACTGCATCGTTTATCAGGTTAATGTTGTGAGGAATTACAATGGTTATGCACTGTCATTTAGTAGTATGTCAAAATCAGAGAGGGATGGTTTCTTCCATTACTAAAGAACAAGCTCATTTTCACATTTGAAATGATAATGACATTTGACGTGTGTCAAATATGGAATCCCTTTTTCCTTTTTAGTGAAGGAGAATGAGTGCCATTGAAGGTCTATTTATGCAAATCCATTGATAATTTTCTTAATGTTGGCCATTGAACTTATCCTCTGGTCTTGGGTTCCAATTCTGTTGTATCTATGTTTGTGTGCAGATAACTGAGAGGAAATCTGAACTAGGAAAACTTGAAGCAATTGATTCTGGAAAACCTCTTGATGAAGCACTGTGGGACATGGTATGCTTTTAGCACTGCTGAAATATTGAGTTGAGTATCATGCAAATTGTCATATGTGGGAATCCTTGTTGTCCAGGATGATGTTGCGGGATGTTTTGAGTACTATGCAGACCTTGCTGAAGGCTTAGATTCAAAGCAGAAAGCTCCTGTTTCTCTTCCTATGGACACATTTAAGAGCTATGTTCTTAAAGAACCACTTGGGGTTGTTGCACTGATCACTCCATGGTATTTGCTGCTTCACTTTGTAATACGTTTATGCCTTCTTTTTATTTATTTATTTATTTATTATTATTCAATGTTCACCTTTTTGTAATGAAATCTTCTGGCTTGGACATGTCAACTGTTTCTGAAATTAATCATCACCAATAAGCTCTCCTCTTTTTCAGCTACACCAATGTCAATGAGCAATTGTGGCACAGTAAAAAGGCACATCATGATTTTTATGCTTAAAAAGATATATACTGAAACGTGACTTCTTATTAAGTTCTTAGCAATTTGTTGGCATTAGCAACTTGTGAAGTTCAAGAGCCTGGAGCTTCTAACTTTCCCAAAAATTTTATCATGCTAACAAAATGCCATTATGAGCTGAGACCCCTGGTGCCATCACAACTTTTAGTGTTATGCTGCTTTCATAAATATTTCTCCAAAAATTGTCCAGTTGAAATTGAGGCAATAGTGGTTTCTTTAATTGTGCTGGATAAAATTTGAAGTGTCTGCTTTGCTTTATTAGATTTTTGTAGTTAGTTCTTTTTATTCAAGTCTTGTGTCAAACTCTTGTGGTTCTCTATCAAATTTGTTGTTGCAATCCAACTCTGTACTTCTCCCGAGATACGGTGTATTATTTCAGTAATACTGGCTGCTTGTAGTTGCACTTGAATTCTACTTTCTTTGTGATCTGGAATGCTGTAGTCTGGGTGATAACTTGTAACTTTATATTAGTTACCTAGATGTCTACTTGCTAAATTCACAATGCATACAACCATGGTTTTAGTTGCTCTCTGAAGTTCTATTTGTGCTTTCCAAATCAGTTTTAAATCATCAATGAGGACTGATCCAAATCCTTTTTGGTGAAGAAAGGAGACATATGTAACACATTTTGCTCCATTGGTACCACCAGTTCTTCTTAAGTGTTCTACATCTTAATTAATTCCTTGATCCCATTCTTGAGTTTATGAATATTTTTTATGTGTTGGTATGTTGTCTAATAAAAATTTTGTTTCTTTCTGTGACTAAATTGTGATCGTCAAGTTAATGTTTCAGTTTATTTTTTATTTTTATTTTTAAGTAAATGTGCGACTGGTATGAATTTTTTTTTCTAGGACGCTCTTCATCGTTTAATTCTAAATTCTAATATTAAACTACATGTTATAGAAACTACTAATTCTTGTCTCTTGTATTGAAGGAATTACCCGCTATTGATGGCTACATGGAAAGTGGCTCCAGCCCTGGCTGCTGGCTGCACTGCAATACTGAAGCCTTCTGAACTGGCATCTGTGTATGGTTGCACCCTTAATTTATTAGAACTTGCATAAATTCTGATGGTGGCTGGCTGTGCTTCATGTTATTGATAATGTTTTTGATATCAGGACCTGTTTGGAGCTGGCTGAAGTGTGTAGGGAGGTTGGTCTTCCTCCTGGTGTCCTCAATATTTTAACTGGGTTGGGCACTGAAGCAGGTGCTCCTTTGGCATCTCATCCTCATGTTGACAAGGTTTGGTATTCTGTTATCATTTGCTTCATTGGACACCTTTTTGAGTCGTATCCTGTTAATTACTATTTTTGGTTTTCATATCTACCTTGCTTTAATTGCTAATAAGTTGTCAACAGATTGCATTTACTGGGAGCACTGCTACAGGGAGCAGGATAATGGCATCTGTAGTTCAAATGGTTAAGGTATGTCTTATGCTAAACAATTTTTTGCAAGCTTATTTTAAGCTTCTTGTTGATTTGTGCCTAATCACTGCATGCAATATCTTCTCAGCCTGTTTCAATGGAGCTAGGTGGGAAAAGCCCAATCGTTGTTTTTGAGGATGTTGATCTCGATAAGGGTTGGTTCCCTCTTGGCATTTTCTAACTTTATGCAGTCTTTTTATCAACAACATTGTTAATAGGATTTTTGCATCCAAGTTTTATCGCAGAGGGGAAGCTAGTATATGATTATGCAGGTGTTGCTTTTAATAGTAGTTTACTTGCTATCTTCCAGCGGCCGAGTGGACCCTCTTTGGTTGCTTTTGGACAAATGGGCAGATATGCAGTGCAACATCCCGTCTTTTAGTGCATGTACGTGTGATGCTCTCTGTGCTTAATTCATGCCAACTGACCTATCTGCCCCAAAACTTTATTAAATGATGCAAAAGTTGGGCTTTTATATCTTAGCAATACATTTACAGCTTTCATCTTATACATGTTCCAGCTCTAACCCCTTGTAGTTTATAGTTCCTCCTTTGGTTGATTTTCCATGCCTTGAAAGCAGAACTGAACTAAAGATTGCTTTATCTACACCCAGAACTATGAGATCCATATAAGATTAATTTAGCTTCCTGAAATAGAGAAGCAGCACCAACCCTGCTCCAAACTCCAAGCCGACAGCCTCAATTTTTTTTGTTTTTTAATAAATCATCCCAAAGAGCCAGAAAGATTACTAAAAAAAAAAAGAAAAAAACAAATCCTGGAAAGAGTAACCAAATTTAGGAGCATGCCACTAAGTCAAAGCATGTAAAGAAACCCCCTATTGCAACCATCCAAACAATAAAACGATGTCGTCAGGTGCTTGTGTCTTTGTCAAATGGGCTATCAAACCTACTCACAAGGTAAGTGATCACTGCTTCAAAAATTCGCTCCAAGCTGGAGAATACTGGTGTCTGAACTCACCATAAAACATTAACAGCTTGCAGCTAATCTTCTGTCTTCAACGATTAATTGAAAACTACTGCTTTTTCTTCAAGAAAATGGTACTCCCTGAGGACAATAATACAACTTTTCTGATGTTTTAAATATAAATGAGGAACTTGCCTGTAACAGCACATCTAGTTAAAAGCTAGGATTTACTATGAAAGAAAATGGGATAAGAAATGTTTGACAATCAGCATCCTTGAATGTATAGTTTGTCACATGCTGTATTTTTGCCAAAATTTGTTAGCCTTGAAAGAAGTTAAGATTTTATTCACTTTAATGTTTCAGGAGAGCATTGCATCAGAATTTTTGGACAGGCTTGTCAAATGGACCGAAAAAATTAAAATTTCTGATCCTTTCGAAGAAGGCTGCAGGCTTGGCCCAGTTGTTAGTGGAGGGCAGGCAAGTATTTCTTTTTTTTTTTTTTTAAATCGTGCATTTTCCATTTCTTTTTGTTGCTTCAGGCGGGCGGATGTTTTGTTATGAAGTAAACTTTCCTACTATATTTTGTTAGTGGAGGCCAGGCAAGTATTTATTAAAAATATCATTTTTTTTATTAGTCTCCAATTTTCTGTTCAACTTGTGATGTCAAATAGTCACATTATGTATTTTGTGCACTTTATGTAACTTTTAACTCTTCTTGGCAAACGAAACCTGCTAAATTAATTTTTACTTCATTTCTGCAGTATGAGAAAGTATTAAAATTCATTGCAACCGCCAAGAGTGAAGGTGCAACCATTTTGAGTGGCGGGGATCGTCCCAAGGTACGAATAATTCCTGTTTTTAGTGGGATTGCTCTCTCTATCTATCTTCCGGAGTAGTTGAGTGATTTTAAAAATGCATTCACAGCATTTAAACAAGGGATTCTTTGTTGAACCAACCATCATTTCTGATGTAACAACCTCCATGCAAATCTGGAGAGAAGAAGTTTTTGGACCTGTTCTGTGTGTTAAAACATTTAGTACTGAAGATGAAGCTATTGAGTTGGCAAATGACACCCAGTAAGTTGATTCTTGTATCTCAATAAAGACAGTGAATGTATCTTAATACTTGGGTTGGATATTACATCCAACATCTTTTGTTTCTTATTTTTTTCCTCGATCTGCTCTGTTCTTGGAGATAATATTCTGACTTTCTATGATGTCCCACAGTTATGGCTTAGGAGCTGCTGTTATATCAAATGATGTAGAGAGGTGTGATCGTGTCACCAAGGTAAGACTTGAAGTAACGATCGATATGTGCAAATAACACCAAAATCCCTTGATAGGGGTTACTTACTTTTTTGAGTTAATAATTCTCCTTTGCCCCCATTTTGCAGGCTTTCCGGGCAGGTATTGTATGGGTCAATTGCTCACAGCCATGCTTCTGTCAGGCTCCTTGGGGAGGCATTAAGCGCAGTGGTTTTGGGCGTGAATTAGGAGAATGGTATGACCCTAATTACCCTAACAGGATATGCCACTGTTTTTATCACCTAATCCAAACATTTAGAACCGTATGAACAAATAACCAACATTCTCTCCCTTTTTGGGAAAAAAATAGAGAGAACCGTTTGGTTCTCATGTAAACTGTGACAATGTCCAACTGTCCAGGTTTTTTTTTTTTGCCATAAATTGTTGAAATTATTCTAGATTGGCCTCAACTGATGGCTGATGCTGACTCCTTTTCTATCCCCTTTTTCCTCAGGGGACTTGAAAATTACTTGAGTGTGAAGCAGGTAACGCAGTATACCTCTGATGAGCCATGGGGTTGGTACCAGTCTCCCTCGAAGCTGTAAGAGCAAGTTTCTGAAAATAAAAAATGCAAAATTGTAGTTGTTGCAAAATGATGGAAATGTATACCATGTGATGAACTCGAGATTGTGTGCTGAATGGAAGCTTGGGCAGAATAAGAAATGTTTCGCCAAACTAAATTGTTGTCTGGTATGGTTGAATAATATGGCTCGCTCCTAGTGTATTTTCCCCGTCTTGTCTTAGCTGGTCCTTGCATGTTCTATTGGTGACCCTGTTAAAAATCTGGAGCGTAAAGCCATGCACCCATATATTGGTTATTTATCGTTGATTCATTTTTATTTTTTAAGGGAAAAGCATTATTTAGGCACTAACCTAATAGATAATGATAAGAGGGTAATGTGCCATCTAATGCAACTGTGACTTGCTTGTTTAATAATTTGATGTCGACCAAAGTTGAAGCTGCTGAGAGAAGCCTGTGGCAACTTGGTGTTATAAAGTGATAACATAATTAGCATCTTGTGGTTTCCTAATCATCAGTGAATAAAAGAAAAGCCCAGCTGGGCACTTGAAATACAAACTCGGGATTTATGGCCACTGTTGCAGACTTGCTGTTATCACTTTATAGACTTCCGATATTACATAGTTAGCATCTTGATTCCCAGGGGCTTGTCCTATTCATTACATAGTTAGCATCTTGTTTCCCAGTGGCTTGTCCTATTCTCTTTGGTCGTCGGTACAAACCTACCATCACCCCATACCATTTGACTTAAATTATCATCATTGTCGGTCCTAAAATTTGCCCTTTTTGGTCCCGGTGTGCAACCCTATTTCCTGTTCAAATCTCCTGCGGAAACCACGCGTGTAAAAAATCGAATCGAAGAGATAAAGTCAAGAGTCAGGACTAAGAGACACATCGCTATATATTGATGTCGGATTGAAAAATGTCAAACCCTGTGGAAGCTTAAACATACAAGTAATAATCGAATAATCCTAGACCGAAGCACCCAAGATAGAAACCAGCATCAAACTAACTCTAAATAGATTTTAAATATTACACAAGCACATATTAAATCACAATCAACAAACGTTTCGAGCACACGTTCAATCAGATCCTATAATCACCAAACAAATACACACATTATCCTTAAATAGGTTATATGCATCCACTACTAAATCAACTCAAAACAACATGAAACTTTACTACAACCTAGAATATATCCATAAGTATGTGTATGATAAATTTCAGATCAAATTAAGCTATGTAGCCCTTTATTTAACTATGTTGAAATTCTAGACAAAATAAGTTTTAGAATTTACAGTGACTTCCACACCCTAAAACCCAACATATTTTTGTAATTTTTTAATGTTTTTAACATGAGCTAAATCAACTCCTTAAATAACTACTATCAATAGTTTAGATCAAATTAAAATTTCTAACATTGGTTATTAGCTTTAGCACCGAAGTCGTTCAATCTTGGAATCCTAATCAATCCGCAATTAATCAAGCAAAAACACAAAGATAAAATGCAAGTCTCAATGTCTCACCCCTAAGAAGAATGCTTTACCCAAATTGATTTAAAGAGTACTTACAAGATACATTTATCAAGAGTCCAATTGACATAATTTAGATCTAAGCCCACCTTAGTCGATCACTCTAAGGTCGCATTCATTATGTCTTAGCGAATCCAAGCAAAAGAGATATGAAGAAGTTGCAGTGAAAAGCTCTCAATTTTTATTCAAATATTTATCAAAGTCTTATTGAAAAAGTAGCACAAAGTGTGCTTAAATACTCACACAAAAGACCCTAAAAAGAGTAAGCTAGGTTGAACTTTATTCCTTGGTCGAATGGACTCTTTTCCTAATTAGGCTTGGACTTACGTCATCAATATTCAATTAGGAATTTATTCATTCAGCCTAATTAAATCTAGATCCACATATTATATGGACTCAAAATTAAATAAGGAATTCCTAACAAATAAGGATCCACAACACATAAAGATCATTCATCCACCTAGGCCATATTAGGTCATGTCCTAATTCAATAAGAAAATCCATAACTTATGAAGACTAATTAATTTAGCCCAAGTCTTTACAATTAAAATTAACTAAGATAATTAATAATAGCTCAAATAAATAAAAGATAACCAAAATAACTGAAAGAACAATAAAATAAAAGGATAGAAGGTTGAAAGTTTCGACCACTATGGAGTGTCGAACTTTCGACCGAAAGGAGGTGGATGCTCCCGTATCACACTCCTCGGAGTTAAAAAAAAGTTAACCTTGACATCATGATCCTTATCTTCCTCTCTAAAGTATGAAAAAAGGTCTCTCTTCTAGAAAGTAAGTGAGACTATGTAATCTTTCGAGTAGGTCCATCTTGTAGGCATGCTTACATATCCTCTTGGCAACTTGGAATGGATCTTTTATGTCTTTAAGTTCAAAAAACCTTCCTTTTGATACTTGCTCCATCTTGATAATCAATACTGAATCTTCTTCATTGTAAGTTGTCTTGGTTCAAAATTCATAGATTTCAACTTACTCGTTTCTCTTTGCTTGCATTTCTATTATTGTTTGCATTATGCTTCAATTTGGCAAAGTTAGCAACATTGGCTTGATCTTTAGCCTTCTTTCACTTTTTCCAAGAACAACCCCACCTAGTCTTCTCATGGTAATAACCCCAAAACAACTCTAAATGGTCTTAACAACAACACCTTCTTCTTGTCCCTCAAGTTTATCAACATCAATCCACCAATCCATTTGGTTCTCGAGTGGAAACAATCTCATCGTTTGTTCCTTCATCTTAAGCAAACCTTAAGTAACCATTATTGCCTTCAACAATATCTATGTTAACCCCATGAATCATGACAACATCATCAACACTACCAATGATAGCGACTTGGTTAACACAATCAGTAATAACTCTAACAACACCAACCATAACATCCACAATATTCTCATTAACATTCTTAAGCATATCACCATGCTTACTCCTAATGTACTTAATTCCAACCTTAAACATCTCACCATGCTTTCCAATATCATGATGTATGATAGACATTTTTTCATTCAATCCAATAAGAATATCATAAGAAACATCTAAATCATCATCATCATATATATCATATCTAGAACTAGTATTCAAATCAATACAATTCTTTACTCCACTAGACTTAGCATACTAAAAAACATTCTCACTATCATGATCAATCTTATATAAATTTGTTTGACTATAATCTTGATTAGTTAGATATGACTTACCAAGATATAAGTTGGGTGACCAAGATATACTTTTTGCCTCTACTAAGTTAGCTCTTCATTAATTACCTTCGTTCAAAGAAATCACCATGGTTGATGGCATTTTTGCCTTAATCTCATGGATGTCCATTCAAGACTTTCCAACTCCCTTTCTTGCTTTCCTTCACCACATAATCTCAAAGATCAACTTCCTCAAGTCCTAGACTAGCAAACTTTACCATTCGAGAAGGATCATTTTGCACACCTATCACCAAAAGGATCATAACTTCGGTAGGATGCTCCAAATCATGCATCGTTTGATATGTTGAAAACTAGATTCAAACATCGTTCTAGTAGTAGATAAAATTCGTCTAAATTTATTCGATGTTGTATATTACATCTAAATTTGAAACTAAAATCTAAAATCGTTGCTAGCTTCGTTCCATTGCAATTCGTTGCCACCAAATGAATCTCCCCTTTGTAGTCTTGATACATTATGCTATGTAGTCATCCATAAGTTAATGTTGTTTCTATCTTTATTGTTTGGATAATGAAGTATCATCCAACACATTTAACTTTCCTTCATCAATATCAACAATACTCTCTTACGATCGAATGACAACATTGTGTAGAAAAGTTTTGAATAATTTTCTAGTAGCTTTATGCTCCTTCATATTGACTTCACGATTGCTAGGAATATCATTCTCGCTTAAGTTTAGTGGCGGTAACCTCTTTGACGTTATTGTTGAGAATTTTGGTATCTATGGTATCGTTAAAGTCAATAGCATCTTTACATCTTTTGCTAGAACTTTGGATGCTTTCATCACCAACAAGTTTAGCTTCTCTAACCTCTTATTTGATATCATCTACTTTGGAAATTTCAACTTCAAAACCCTCATCTTGTTGCTGGAATCTTTCTTCTTTAATTTCATCTATTCCATCTTTTATGAGTATAGATTTAATAATAAGCTCCTCATGTTCACTAACATAAGTAGCCAAAATCTCACTCTTTATTGGCAACAACATAATCTTAACTCCATTGAAGGTGAAAGAATAAGTATTCCGAAAGCCATCATACATGACCCTATGATCATATTGCCAAGGTCTTCCTTTACTAATAAAGAACGACACCAAACACCTCTTTTATACATGGATCTCGTTCTTCTTTCACAACCAAGTTAATAAGTAAGGATTATGATGATCAATCATTTTCAAACTCAGCTTCTCCACTATTTAGGAAGACACCACATTCTCATAGCTACCTCTATTGATGATCAATTCACACACCTTGTCATGAGACATATAACAAGTGTCAAAAATATTATGCCTCACTCAATGTTTTTTGGTAGCCATGCCTACACTCAATACTCTTATAAAAACCATCCTTACAATCAGTTAAATATGTAAAAGAAGCAAATCTTAGCTTCGATACCAAATTGATCCGACCGAGAGATGCCAAACCCTACGGAAGCTTAAACAAACAAGCAACAATCGAATAGTCCTAGGTAGAAGCACGCAAGCTATAAACCAACCTAAAACTAACTCTAAACAAATCTCAAATATTATTCACTCATAAATTAAATCACAATTAATAAATACCTTAAAAACACACACTCAATCGGATCCCATAATTACCTAACAAACACACATGTTATCCTCAAATAGGCTATATGCGTCCACTATCCAAATCAACTTAAAACAACATGAAACTTTACCACAACCTAGAATATATCTAGAAGTATGACATGATAAATTTCACATCAAATTAAGCTTTATAACCCTTTATTTGACTAAGTTAAAATTTTGGACA